GTAGTGGGAAACAAGTCCAAGACCTTGTACATGTTTGACAAAAATTCTAGCTTTGAGCTACACTCTGAGCCCTGCATTTACTTTTTAAATAAAAAAGTGCCAATAGTATGATTACCTACAAGGAATGCACAGAGAGACGTACTGAGAGGAGCCATGGAGCTCACACACTCCTTCCTGGCCTCTGCCCTCCAGAACCCATCACATGTTCAGGATTCTGGGAGCTCTCCAAATCTGGTCCTGGATTTTTATGAAAACTTCACCCATAGACATGGGTGTGGAACCCCAGCAAAGCCTACCTGTGTGGATTCCTTTTGGCCTCTCTGGCTCCCCAGGTATGGAGCAGGACCCTCTGGTACCAGGAGAGTCTCATGTTAGACAAGGGTAGGACACAAAATTTCTTTATGCCCAGTTTCAGAACAGGAGGGTGAGGAAGGGGGAAGGGAGGGCTTAGAGTTGCATGACCTGTCTTACGGAAGGGGAATTCCTACTGTGACCTACTGGGAGGGGGGATTATGAGCTAAGAACAGTAATTATTATATTTATATGATCTAATTGATATATGCCCAACCAATTAGATCTACTTTGTCCTTCATGTTTTTAGGCTCTTTTAGTCTTATTTATTATCTTTCCCTACTTAATGGACTTATAATGGATTAAAAGAGATGAACTAAAGTCTTCTAATACAAAAATATTTCTGTCAATGCTTCCTCATATTTCATGTAGGCATTAAATAATATTTAAGCTCTTCTTCCTCCTATCTGCTGGGAGCCTGTTAAGTTGGAGAATAATTACACGTGCAGGATGAAGCCAGCCTGAGAACACGGGAGTTCCTCGGAGTAAACGATCCTCTCAGAGTGAAAACGCCTTTGTAACTTGTTAACTAGTTGCTGGGCAGCGAGACAAAAGTTAACCAACCTCTCCAGGGAATAAACAAACGCTGTGCTGTTTTGGGGGAGTCCTCTTGCTCATCAGGCAAGAGGTAACTCCACCTGACCCTGGCTATCCTCTCTTTTCTTCATTTTCTAAATCCTCTCGCTTTTTTCTCCCGGGGACCACTGCAAGACTGAGAGGCCACTGAGTCCCACACTATCTACCACATACGTTTCTTGGACATAGGTGAGTCCTCATTTTTCTATTGTTTATTTTTATAGAAAATTATATCTATTATTGCTGGAATTTTCAGCTTTGAAAATATCTTTATGCCACCTGCTATAAAAGATAAAAATGCTGTGAATTTAAATAACTTCCCACCTTCTCTATAACTCCATCTCCAAAGCTTTGTTATTTGTGTTATTTCTGCACTGTCATTGTTTATAGCATTGATACTCTGCTGCAAATATTTAAATTGAAATTAATGTAATTAATTTAGATTTAGATAAATTTAATTAATTTGAATAGAGACCATGCTTATGGTGAATCCATATTTCTCTGTTAGATTTTAATTACTTCAAATCTTAGGTCATTCTTAAAAGGTTCATGGAGAAGCTCTTCCTGCAGTTACCGCATGCTTGGGAATGTTTGTCACCTATGCACTTGGTAAGCTGTTGTTGACTAACATTCTGGGGCCACGGTTCTTCCCCAGGTTCCTCCCTAGTACAGCTTTGCTCTCTCCTAGTGTTGAATGCTCAGGAACTAGCTGCAGCACTGCTCACACCTACAAAATGCTCCACATGACATCATGGTACACATATAATGAAAAGTGGACTTCTCACCACAGAGCACTCTAGAAGGGATGTGTCTGATCAACAACCAAGCACTCTTCTATGTAGTCATTCAATAACATGGGCTTCTTTTGTAATGTGGCCTCACCAGACCATAGGGACGGTTTTCTTGGTTATTCATCTGGTATAGAGGGCAGAGATTCTTCAAAAGGCACAGGTCCTTCTTTAAGGCAAGGCCTCAAAGGGCATATGCCACTTTCCCGAAGTCACTATTCACCAGATCCAGGCAGAGGTCCACCCATCTGCAAGATGTTGGGGGACATAGGAGAGCTGGGTGCCCTGGAAATGGGGGAATGGGGCTTCTGCACAGCTGGCTGGTTCTGCCATGGAGAAATTTGAATCAAGTCTTGTTAGCTTTCTCCTTTTCAGTCACTTGATCGTTTTTAGTAGATGCCCAAATTATCTCTTTCGAAGTCTGATTACTTACCAAGGGATGATTCAGTGTTGATTTTTCTATATCATTTTCCCCCATAACATAATGTACTTTTTTTAAACCTGCAGACACGATCCTTCTTTTATTTCAGGGAAGAAAGTGTTTGAATCATCATTTTAAATAATTCCTTTAAACACACATCAGTTGTTTAGTCCTCTTTTTTGACACATAAATTCAATTTCCTATAACAAAGAGATTTGCACGATTTATTGTTACCACAAGTCACATTCCTGCAGAATTCAGAAATATGTGTGGCTTTCTGTTAACTAAGTGGTTTTCAAACTGCAGCCTGTAGCTCCTGAATGGATTGCACAATCTACTTAGCTGGATGTGAGGGTTGCATTCCTTTCCTGTTGCTGCCTAACAAATGATCACAACAGAAACAGCTTCCACCTACAGACACTGGGTGCCTCACATGTCTCTGTGGGGTCAACAGGCTGATCTCAGAGTCTCAGAGGGCTGTAAACAGGGTGCTTCTTGGGGGCAGCATATTCTTCTGGGGCTCAATGGGAAGAAACCGCTTCTAAACTCATCCAAGGTGCCCATGGAATCCATTGCCTTATGGCTGCATGGCTGAGGGTTACTGCTTCTTGCTGGTCATTGTTGACTGGAATCTACCCTGGTCCTAAAGGTAATCCAAATTGCTAGAATCCACCTACAGATACCAGTCATGAACAGTTTTTCAACATGGCTGCCTCCTTTACTGAATCAGCAAGAAGAATCTCTTATTCCAATCTGCTAAGACAGAAGTCATCCTTAATGCACCATGAGAAACATGTATGACCAGCTTTGCCATATTCTTTTTGCTGGAAAACAAGTCACAGGCCCTGCCCACAGCCAAGAGGAGAGGATTACCCACAGCTGCCAACACCTGAAGGTGCAGACCATGGATGACACCTTAGGGACAATCGCCACATCTGTATTTTAAAATAAAACAGAACAGGATTGAATAAAATGTATCAGGGAGCATAACACTGATAAGAGCGCAGCTAGCCCTTTATATCTGCAGGTTCCATGTCTGTGGATTCAGCTACCCAAGGACTGAAAATAGTTGGGGAAAAAAGCATCTGTCCTGAACATGCCCAGACTTCTTTTCTTGTCATTATTCCCCAAACAGTGTTACAACTTTACATAGCATTTATATGACCTGAGATATTACACGTAGTCTAAAGAAACTTTAAAGTATAAGGGAGGATGCAGCTCAGGGGTAATGGACGTGTTCAGCATGCACAAGGCCACAAAAAAGTATAAAAACTTATGTACAAATTATATGCAAATATTCCACTATTTTGTACAGGGAACTTGAGCATCTGGGGATTTTGCTGCCCGCACAGGGTTCTAGAACCAATCCCTTGCAGGTATTTTTAGTTTGGACCTGAAATGTCACCCAAAGGCACATGTGTTAAAGACTTGGTTCCAACCTGAGATGTTACTGGGAGGTGGTGAACCTTTAAGAGTGGGGTATGTTGGGTCATCAGGACTTGTCCTTGAAGGGGGCACTGGGACCCTCATCCTTTCTTGTCTCTCTCTGCTTCCAAGCTGCCATGACATGAACATGCCCCACCTCACTGTGTGCTCTCACCATGATGTACTGTGGTGCCATGGGTCAAGTGTACTCAAAACAAGAGGGCTGGTTTTCCTGATATGAACTCAGCTGTTCTCATCACTGGAGAAGCTCAAGTCTTTGCTGTTGCAGAGGATGGTTGTTCTTGTCAGGGGAGCTTTGGGTTTTACCTTGAGCATCGCTTCCTGGCTCCAAAGCAGGTCCCTCAACCTTCTGGCACGGATCCTTTATCCTGTTGGTCCAACCTTTCTAGCTTCTACCAATGGTCTTTGGGCTTTCCTGGTGCAGAGCCTTGAGACAGACTTGCATGAGACACTGTCATGGGCTCTAGGCCTCCATTTGGACTCAAGGGGGGCATTGTCATGGGCTCTAGGTATTCAGCTGGACTAGTGCTGGACATTGCTGTGGGATCCAGGCCCTCAGGTGAATTTTTTGGGTCTCCAGTGCATAGACAGATCTCCTACACTCTTCTGCATTTGACTCTTTTGGTGGATATTATAAAATAATCCTATAAATTATGTCCTGTATTAAATCTTTTCCCTTATAAACCCTACCTACAGCAAATACCAAGGGATGACTATGTGTACTTTTAAATGAAAATGATGTCAGAAAATAGTAATATACGTGTTGTATGAGATTGTAAAAAATTATGTTTCCTTAGAGACCATACTCATAAGTGAAATAAATCAGACCCATGTGTGTAAACATATTGTCTCCCTAGTGCAAGAACCTAAAAGAGTAAATAAAACCCAAAACTTACAATAGATAATATAAAAGGTAAAGAAATTGCTCAAAGGAACAACTAGGATGGGGGAAAGAAGAAAAAGAAAGAAGGGAGGCAAAAAATATATATATATATAATATAGAAGGACAGCTGAGATAACTGTACTGCTGTTTGGTGGTTTATTGAAAGGAACAGTTAATGCTTAATTTTTTTATTTTGACCAATTTTGCATGCTTATATCTTGTAATCTGAGCAACTGATCTGAAGACAACAATATGTAATATAACAACCATTGTTGAATTCCTACCATCTTGTCTAGTGAAACTCTACTATCTCTAATTTTTTTAATTATTAGTTTTTATTCTCTTTAATGGTTTGAACAATCTTGCATTCTTACATCTGGTAATCTAAGCAACTTCATTGAAGATAACAATATGTAATATAACAACCACTGTTAATTCCTATCATTTTGTTTTGAAACCCTGTATCATTTTTAATGTTTTTGCTTCGTTTTGTTTTTGTCTATGATACGGGTATTTTGCTGTTGTTCTTTTTTTTACTACTCTCTTTAAAATAAAAAAAAAATTGTGCTTCTTATCAATGGCTTAGAACAAAATAGACTGACAGCCACTCATGTAGGAGATTCTCTGGCCAATGCTGAAGGTAAAACTGTGGCTGAACTGTGCACCAGCCCTGGTCCCACTTGGCTTGTTCTCTGTTCATGGCTCCCACACAACCTGAAAGAGCCGGTTCTCCAGCAGAAGCCACCGCAGTTCTTGGATCCTTGGGGCACACATCCCTGCTGCTAGTTGCTCTAAAGTCTTCACATCATGTCCTGCTGCTTGTGGCCACCTTCACGCACTGCACATGAGGTCTGGTCCTGCCATGTGCTCACATTGGCTGGATTTTTCCTCCTTTCTGCTGCCCTGCTTCAAGTGTATTAAAGTGGGCATTAGAGGTTTTCTCTCTCTTTTTTTTTTTCTTTTTGAGACAGGATCTCACTATGCAGTTCAGGCTATCCTTGAGATCACTT